TATTATCTAGGGGTACATAAATATGTGATAAAATTGTTAAATAAAAGTCATGGAATGATAAAATTCAGGAGTGGGAGAAAGAAGAATGGGGCGAGAAAAGCATGTAATGCTTTATTAAAAGGATTTTTTCTGTAAAATTTGGATTCAGTAGAAAGGCTGCACTCGAAGATCCAGAGGCCACACGTGCCCCAAGGCCACAGGTTCCAACCGCTCTGTAGTTTCATTGGTTTCACTTTAAACGTGAACATATATTTTCTGTATGTCAAATATAGTACTACATAATCTTAAGAAATGCTTGTGTTTCGGCGTGATTAGTAATGTTGGGGGCGGGGTGGAGGCTGGGAACTCCCAGGGATCAGTGGTGATACATCTTTGTCCGTGGAAGGCAGATTTGGATTTTAGAAACTCACTCAGAGCAACAGCTAGTGAATAAAGGGCGGTGAGGTCATAATCAAATTAAGTTATAGCCATTTTTGCAACTCTCTTAGTAACTGACAAACTTAAGTGCTTTCCAGAAAGGAAACTCTAAAATTTGTTGTTGTATAAGGACAACTTTGCTAAATGATTGAATAGGCTCCCATGGTGACTGCTTTTACTGGAAGACAGCTCATTAGATAAATGTACCTTGGCGTGTTTGCTTAAAAAAAAAAAATGACTCACTTGATTTGCACATGAAAGTATTAACAGGAAAATAAATGAAAGCAATTTCACCTGAACATCTATGAGTAACTTTAGCACTGAACTTTTTAAATATAACTTACACAATGCATGAAATGGGTTGATCTGGAACCATGTAGACAATGAAAGTGTCACTACATTGATAGACTTCAGTTTTCTTCCTAAAATCTAGACATACTTAAATTATATTAAATTGCTTTTAAATTCATCCGGTCTGCATAGTGTTTTTCGCTATTACAGTGCGAAATGCCCTTCCTGTCCAACTGGCTCAAAGTTACCATCTTCACTTGCAAAGAGAATGTTTTCCTTCTCCCCCGTGCCATCCCCTCCACCAACAACCCTGCCTTTCAGAACGTTTACCCTTTCATTCACAAGACATGTACATGTGTATATGTTCACATGCATACTATGTAGTGTAAATGTTCTTGTTCATTTTCTTAGGGGATAGTTGAAATCTTGGCTGTTTAGATACAAAAGACCAGAGTCGCTGATGATACAACGTGTAGATTCAAAGATATTCATGGCAGCGAAACTGCCAAATCCTCCAAGAGTAGCAACCAGAGTTTGTGGACCAAATGGGAGCATGTTTTGCAGAATAGAGTGTAGACATTATGCATACAGATTTATTCTGAAGTTTCAGATACAGGAAATCAGTCCCTTTACTAACAATTGTCTTTCACCCCTTATGGCAGCTCATTTCTTAATCTGTCCTGTGTCCAATCTGTGTATACTGCCCCAGAAAGTTCTAGAATGGTCCAAAGGTTTTATGTGTGTGTGTGTGTGTGTGTGCCTGTGCATTCTATGTCAGTGTGTAGAGCAGGAGAGAAGGATCAGAGAGCAGCATCGCGTGAGGCTCTATCAAGAAGATCTGGGCGTATTGCACCATATGTAAAGAGCCCTTTGATGAGAAGCAGCCTGTTTTTTTCCCCAGAACTAGTGAAGTCATTTTACTTAAGTGTTCATCAGAAGCCTAGATGAATTCCTTGATGTTTCATGTTTCTTTTCTGTTTCCTCTCTTGTAGATACAGAATTCATCTACAGAGAACAGAAAGGAACGGTGATTCTGCGGAATGTTGAAACAAATATTTCGACTGTGTTAATAGAAGGCAAAAAAATTGTAAGTACTCTCTTTAATGACTGGGATAATTTCGGGTTTTCCTCCTGCAAGTCAATAAAGCAGAAAATGACTTTAGGTTTCAACTTTTAGTATAGCCAAGAAGAAGCAATAAACTTGTAATACTCCAGGCTGAGCAACTAACGATAACGTGAAATTGAAGCCACACTAATTTAATAAGATGAAAGCAGTTTCTTTCTGTGTCCGGGAAATTTCTCTGCAGGTGTTGGAAACAAGTGTTGCGTATCACATATAATTGAAAGATAAAGTCTTAAGGCTTTTACACATTTACAGAACAATTGCAATAATGCATATAGAATACTTCAGGAGAACTTGCTCAATCCAGTTTTAAAAAAACCTTCATCTCCACACGCACAGGAAGCGTTAACTTAGGCACTGGCACTGTACTTACCCTAATGATACTGAGTGATGCTTGCGCTTCAAAACCAATGCTGAGTCATATGGACACGTGAATGCCGCTGCTTTATAATCTGGGAAAACTTGTTTTCCCAAAGATTTAAATGACATGAAGATACATCAACTGGAGTTATGTACTAAAACTTAATTTAAGGAGAATTAACTTGTTTGTTTACAATGTGTTCATGCCCTTTATTAGAAGAAATAAATCAATAAAGGTGTTGATCCTTTTCTTATCTGATTCACTGGGGAAATCAAAGGAGGTGACTGAGGTTAAATCCACGTTTAAAAGTAAGAAATGAAATAGCTGCAAATTCCAAGTCAGAACCATCATGACAGGGCTCTCTCGCATGAATCGGAAATGCAAAAATCCCAGAATCCAGGATTAGAGGAGATCATAGAAAAAAAATTAGTCAGTTCTCTGGTTTTACAGATATGGATCCTGAGTGCAGAGTTGGTGCATGAGCTTTCCAGCTTCCAGCAGCTCACGGGCGGCTGTGCCAGCGCTCGGCTGGGCCCCGGGAGCCTCGGTCCCAGGGAGAGGGAAGGATGGCTTTCTCTTTAGGCCACCCAGTCCCCAGACCTGTAGAAATGCTGCTCTCTGCGGTCTTTTCTCTCCTAAGTCACATTTAACTTGCTATTGAAATACTTTTATTTCATTTCTTTCTGGTGTAAAAATACTTTTTTCTTAAAAAAAAATAAATTTACTGAGGTTTAGTGTTAAATGGATCCCACCCTTTACATAGACAGCAGGTGCAAGGAAGGCCTCGTATTGTTGGATTATGGTATAGTTCAAAAAATGATCGCTTTATTGAATTAAATAGT